GTTTTGGGCACATAGGCTTTATATATGACACCGCGGAACCAGAAACCGGACAAAAGAGCTAGGCCTTATAACAAAAGACCGTACTCCGAACAAAAGATCGAGTTACTGGGCATTGCTAACATTTTTTTTTTCAGTTATCAATATAGGAGGAAATCCGTCATTGTTTTGAAAGATTTTACCACTTTTTTGATATTCATTGTGAGCGGATTACCACTGGGGACAAAAGCGCTCCTGCGATGAGAGATACAATACCGCAGCACGCTAATCTGGCCCCTGTTGAAAAGACGTCAGTCGTGCACTGTGCCAGTTTGGGGAACAAAAGAAACTTCACAATCTGGGCTCTTTTCACCAGCCGGCAAGCCTGGCTGAATGACTCGGGCATCAATAGATGTTGTCTGTTCGATTAGAGTAGCCACCAGACAGTCATTCGTCCAGTAAATGAAGTTATGATTTTTTGAAGAATTTTGATCACGGAAAATCTTTAAAATCTCCCGGTCTGACGTCATGCAACTTCAAATTACACCCGGCAGGAAGTGATTATTAATTAAATTTTGCAATACGAGTTTCCTTAAATAACAATGAAAGAACGCTTTTTCTAAGAATTTGAGGTTCAGTGGATTGGATTGTATTTTTTTTTCAGGATCTGATATGTTGGGCTGTCAGTATAAAGGAATATTAATCCCCATTACCAATAAGAAAACGTTCTGGAATGATATCAGTGAATTTCACAAGACAGAACAGTTTGAAAGCATTGGAAGGAAACCGTCAGACACACCGAACGCAGTTAATACGCATGCCCTATATGTATATATTACAAAATTCATTTTCTCGGGCATCATTCTGCCAATGCCACTGCTATTTGCGTTGAATCGCTTGTTGATTGCGCATGGCGAAGTGTCCTATATAATTATGCATTAATACGGACGATTCACAATAGTGCGCCACCAAAAGTTTCCAACGCGTTGGCCAATCATGACGCGCAAAATCTGTCGACCCTTTCCAAACCGGCATTGGGTCAACAGCCCAAAATATGTGCGGGACAGCCACATCAGGCGTTTGCACAGCAAGCTACAGATAGAGATTTCGCGCATTCTGATTGGCCAACGCGTTGCAAAATCTTGGTGGCACGCTATTGTGAACGGCCGTATTGTGAAGAGAGTGACATTTATTATTGTTTTACTGCAACCTAGGAAAATGGAAGGTAATAAACTCACGACTTTGGGACCCGACGCTACGGAAGGCCTTCAAACCCAGCAACTGTAAGTCATCTGGTTAAATTGACTTTTGAGACCATTCTGTCGTTCAGATTTTTAACTGATTACGATAGCCATTACCTGAGCATTTTTCGGACGATCATTGTAAACTAAAAGCATGTGCAACTGCGGTCCAATTTTCTTAAGTGGGAAGCTGTGGTCTAACATGATGGTATCAGGGGTGCTTGATTGGGTTGGTCATTATTTCAAGCAGTGGCGTAAATTTGTGTGGGGGGGGCTACACCATATGCACTACAATAGAGGGCGGTATTCATGATAAGGATTAGATCTGTAATGTGTATCGAATTCATGCAGAATCTTACATTAGAATGGCATATTTATGGATTTTAAAATTGTTTTCCCTTTTTAGTGATATTGCAAACATTTCAGTAGTTGGAATTCCATAAAACGTTTTGACGATCTGCTTTAATTTATTTGCTCATCACAAAAACAAGTGTGGGGGTGGTTAAGTAGCCCATCCCCTCACCTCAAAAAGTGTATAGAGGATATATACCCCACCCCCCAGGATTTACGCCTTTGGTTTCAAGGGTGAACAAAATGTTTGCCATCTTTGAGTTCTATGGCAGTTTATTTGCGGCCTCACTGCGGCTCAGAGCTTTTATTCCAGCACAACGCGTTCCGCGCAGTCCTTACTGCTCCAAATGAAGTACAAGTCAACCGACAAGCCTCGGCCGTACAAGATCCTTACTGAGGTCTTAAAAGAAAATAATAGCACTGTACTGCGCGTCTCCAAACTTCGATGTATTTGTAATGACCATTTCAAAGAAACATATTTCTATTAAACAAAAGAAAAGTGGGGATATATTTTAGACTATGAATTCTGTCACAAGTTACGTATCCATGAAAGAGTCGAATGACGGATGTAGGGTACGTGTATAAAGGTAACACCTAACTGATACACAACTTAATGATATGAGGATTAACATAACACTTTTGTACGGCAGAATTCTTCACGACAATAACTTGCAAGTTCTGAGGCCTCATACTTTCGGAAAGGCAAGGAACTTAGGAATATTGTGAGTAGAAAAAGAATTCTTTGCACAGAGCATGTAGCTGACTGTAATCTTACAAAATAGATCCGTATGCATTGTATAAAACAGCAAACCTGGTATTGGAGTACATGCAAATGGAAACGTATAAAGCCTATGTGCAGGAAGACTGTAGATGGCGCTCGCGTGTGGTTGGCATCAGAACAGTTCATAGAGGAATGTTGCAACATGAGCGTCTCAATTGTTGGGAACCAAAATGGCGGATTATGCGTCAGTGCACATGGATAGTTAGCACACAGTATATTGTGTTCTAATATTATTGTGTAGCTATAGCTACATGCTGTATATTGCACACATATGAGTAGCGTACGTTGGTTCCCGAAGTCTGAAGCAGGCGCTACTCTCTCTATACAGTTCTGGCTGGCTGCCAGTAGCTACTGCTTAATTAAAATACGTTTCAGACAATTTTTAGGTTAGTATTTAGTTTGAATTTTTTGTGATTAAAATGACGAGTGACGAGCATTGATTTACCACTGTTCCAAACTGTCTGTGTTTTAACTCAGACAAATGGACAGCTGCAAACTGGAGGAGGTCCCAGCCGGTCTTTTTGTCGATCCTTCGGGGAATCATTACGAGAGAGACATTGATCGTCTGTAAGCGCAAAACCTTGACCAGCCAAGTATAAAACCATAAAAATCATTACCTAAAATCCAAAATTTAAATTTAGTACACACATGACATAAACAGTTCCACTGAAATCCTAAAATACAGCTGAATTGAATAGGACTATAGGGAAAATGTTTTCTGCGAAGTTTTGGATGTTTTTAAAGTTTGCTAATTGGTGAACAGTTTTAGTGTTATGAATTAATTTCTATATGCTTGACAATAATAAAATTAATACAGTAAATTAAGCATTATCAAAAAGGACGATGATGTCGTGCGGAAATTGTATTTATGCATGCAACGTAGCAACTACATTCCCCATTCTACTTAATACTAAAGTGGCAAATGTCTTTCGTTCTATTTTTAAGTGACCTGGGAAGTAATAAAATAAAAGGTGTTTCTCCAGGGGCATTTCAAGGTGTAACAAGCTTCAATTCGCTGTAAGTAATAACGATCTTCATATTTTCAATTCTCTGGTCTTATTGAGTGAGAAAGCGTTTTGTATCCCAAATTGGTGCATCTTGGACGGGTGAGTAGCTAACATAAAGGACGCTTTTACATACAAATGCGGCTGTAAGAAGCATGCCGGTGATTATAATGGCACGTGAATACGGGCGATTCGCAATACTTTCCGAGAGTTTGCAACATGTTGACTAATCACAGTGCGCGAAAACATTGGGTCGACGTGTTGCCAACTCTTGGAGGCGCACTGTTGGGAATCGCCCGTGTTACTTAACAGCTTTGGGAACATTATGCAGGGTCTTAGGTACAAAAAGACAGGGAAAGGTATTTGGGTCTAGCTGGCTTGCAAGAAGTATTAGGTAAGGGAAAATACGAAGGCTGTTCATGGTTCAAAATCCTGGATGGTGTTTTCTCTATTTTCCCCTCCTTTTTGTCTCAGTTTGTTTGTTGGAAAAGACCAGTTTTCAAAGGTTATTTAAATTTCATGCCCAAACATTGCCGATCCTCGATTAGCCTCGCACATACATAGAATTATACGACAATTTATTGCGTTTCAAATGTTGGTATTTTGTTCTGAATGTCTGATTCGTTAAGAGTGGAATGTAAATCGGAGAAATTTGGTTTTAAGAACAGTGCCGTGCCGGCCATGTGCTGTTCAGCGCGGTGAAAATGCAAAAGACTCTACCAACCCAAAGGTGCTACCACGCCCAGCACAATCTGCCGGCTCCATTGGCTCCAGGCGCCGTACCACACTGCCGTGTCTAAGTTTTGAATATTCAAATGATTAGAGTCTGGCATGCCAGTGTAGACCTATCCTTTATCGTGGGACTTTTGGATAGGGTACCCAGGGTCGTGTACCCTTGGAGAGTTTCAACAATGTGGCTTCATGGATAGTACTTGCCCTTACTCCGTCTAATACCTAATTGTTCCGATCTCGGTTGCGTTGCAGACAACTGTCATACAACAATTTGATCACTCTTCCGGAAGACACGTTTGCGGCCTCCAAACGCATCGGCGTATTGTAAGTATTGATCCTTAAAAGCACACGGAAGCGTTCTATTGTTCCAACGTATTGACGCCTCTCCCATGCGTTTCCTTTAAAGAAGGAACAAAGTCATCAACTGGAGTGCACAAGACCCTGACGTAAGAGGCAGTAAGCCAAAGAGCTCTGGATTGGACACTTGATGCTTTTAGACGGAGTTATAATTTGCTAAAGAGACGTACATTGTCATGTTCTAAAACTGCACACCATAACGATCTGATTTCAGGATATTATCCAACAATCAGCTTGTGTCTAGCGGCCTACCACACAATCTGCTCATCAACACATCAATAACTACATCACTGTAAGATCTTCATCTTCGTTTTTTTTCTAGTATGGTGTATGCTTATTAATAGCGCAGGTCTTCCGATGAGTACGACACACTTACAGATGAAAATGCGCAGTTACGAGCTTTTGCCAGTTCCTGTTATAGCAATGGGTTTCTAAAGCCAAAGAATTCCTGTGTCTCACGGGCTCATGAGCATTGTTTCTCAGTTCTTCTAGAACTTATACAAACCTCAAAGATAGTCATGAACAATTCGCTATAGAGGCAGTAAGTACCGCGTGCAACAGTCCATTTTGCCTCATCATTAGTGGAACGAGCATTTTGAGCCCTCTGTGGTGTTCCTGGTTCCAAGTTTCAAGTTTGTAATGATTCGGTTAGGCAACATTACATTATATTGTCATACAGTTTTGCCGATCTTAAATTAAACGAAAAACTTTAACTATTGTTACCTTCGTTTTGCTCTCGTTCTGAAGAGACATTTCATCCAATCAGCTGACAACTTTTCCGGAGAAACTACTTCGGTCACAGCACAAACTCCAAAACCTGTACATACATCGCAACAAGATCAGTTCTCTGAATAGTGGAGCGTTCAAAGGCATGGAGTCACTGAAAGAACTGTAAGCGATTTGGGGAGGGGGCCCTTATAGAATAACAAAGACACACTGACTTTCTTTTTCCACTGTCTCTATCGATAAAAATTGCCAACTGTGTCCGATCACAAGCCGGTAAACATTGACGCACTGCTTTTTGTTTGATTTTTTTTTAAATAGGCCAATGGTTTGGCGGCTGTAAAAAAAAAATCTCTTAACATTGGTGTTTTCTTAATTTTCGAGGAAAGGAATTTGGGCCAACGCAAAGACCGGTGCAGATGGTTAGGCTGGCTGGGGATTAAGTTTTAGACACTGTGCATCGTTGTTGTATTGTGTTCCTCACAGCACATCCAGGTATTTCTTAGGAGACAGATAGAGTAACGCTATTCGTACAGGTGGGAAAACATGTTTTTACTGTTGTCAGCGTTTTACGACGTCAGAGGACTAAGGGGACCGACTACGTGAGTCAATTAGCCTTTAGGGAGCTTGGAAGACAACATAGAAGGGTGCTATTCAAAGCGGGTCGATTTAGAATAATCACAAGAGATGTACCCAATCCAAATAGCGCCCTCCTTATATGTAGGCCATACGTGTAATGGACTAATTATATTTTACTCGTTTATTTTCCCTAAAAATGTTCCGAACTGATCTTAAGGAGCCAGAATTTTTTTTTAGGCAATATAAAGTAGACGTTAAATTGGCTACGTTTCTTTGCAAATGAAATCGTGAAATAACTTTTAATTAGGTCGAAATATGCATCTTTTAAGTCTAACTCCTTTAAAATGTAATCACTTTTACAACAGCCTTGAAGGAAGGGAATCAGTAAAAACAACCATAACCATTAATGAAAATTGCCAACTGTCCGCTAAACTTTCCCCACCGGACTACAGCTACTCCGACATTCACGGTTCCAAAACTGTCGGATTCAACGCTGATTTTGCAATAATTCTTTAAACATTGATGTCGTTTGATTCTTTGTTTTCTACAGAACGATGTTTGACAATCCTATCACCTATTTACCAGATTGGGTCTTCTATGAGACGAAATTGGTGAACTTGTGAGTACAGATTAATAATCTGTTCTAACAGAGTTATTTATTGGAAACGTGAAACGTAGTCTGAATTACTGTAGCCTTTTTATATAGGCCCACTCTTCAGTTAATCTACCTTTTGATACGGGATAACACAGAGCGCACGTAGATTTTAAAACTTCAATCCACTGTTTTGTTTGTGTTGAGCAGATACATGTTTCAGACGAACCTTTCAGCCGTAGGATCCAGACCTTTCGCAACCACAGGAAAAACTCTCCAGCAAGTGTAAGTGAGCTTTCTGTTATGCGCTGGGCAATGCAATTCCAAGTCAACAGAAGCGGAATTCAAGCTAGGAATATCCTCCTGCCTCTTGAAGAAGAGGGTGTAGAATAGGCCCCATTGTTATTATAGGCTAATAATATTGATAATCTTTTACCTTATCCACATTTTGTTAGTACACCCTCTTTATAATGCATCTTTTAACAGATCGCTGTATGGCAGTAAAGTCGCCGAAGTTCCCGATTCTGTTTGGCAAGACCTAGGCACCAACTGTTACACGTAAGAACGCCATATCAATTTGACGTCAAGTAGGGTCCCTTCAGAAAGATATAACACTTAAGGTTGGTAAACATTTTAAGAAAATGAAAAGTGTGCTGTCATTACCCGGTTTACTTTTGGCAAAGACAGGTGTCATGCTATTGTATCAAACGAAGGAAAATGTGCCAACTGATGTATGCGTTTGTCTCATCAACAATTGTAGATTGTAGAGGCACCTCTTTCGGCCACTTCCAAAAATTTGCAATTTAAAGCTAAGATTTCACTTACGTCAGAAACAAAAGGTGATGGTAAAACGTGTGCTGTTCAAAGTTTCGTTTGTTTTAATACTTTAAACAGAGCCATTGACAACTCTTTGCGGTTTGCACCAATATCAAACCGGACGGACCTGAAAATGTAAGTTTGAACTATGTGTGCCCTAGGCCTAGGGTAAACTGCAGGTGGTAAAATCGACTCACTGTTACAATGAAGTAAAAAAATTGGAATAGTCTGAAAAATTGAAATTATACTTGTTCACCGTTGTAATCTGCGTTGACGTTTTTCCATTCCATACTCTGAAGTTGATAAATTGCAATACGGGCGGTTCACAGTTGTGCGCCTCCAAGATTTTGCAATGCGTTGGCCAACTAAAAAACGCGAAATCTGTTGACCCTTTCCAAACGCGCATTTGATCGACAGATTTCGCGCATTGTGATTGGCCAACGCGTGGAAAACTCTTAGTGACGGAACAAAAGAGGGCTTGTTTTTTGGAACTCACCGCATAGGCGCGCCATAAGGCGCACAGGTATATGTGCGTTTGATGTGGAGCACGCTGAGTACGCGTAATTAATTTATTCCGGCACATGTATGTTTACGTTTTAGAGGGAAATTATTAGCTGCACATGTCCGATTCTTAGGGTCATCTGCATACGTAATGAGGGCCATGAGAATTCGTGCCAGGGAAGCAGCTGCTTCAGTTCATGAAATTTGCGTCTTATTCCTGTCCAAAATATTTTCGTGGTAATATAAGGGCTTTTCCTAACGTGTTTTGTGAAAAGATAATTGAGAACTAGTACCGTAGAGGTCAAAACTAGTGATTTTTGTGAAAAGCTCTTTTCGTAAGCGGTAGTTTGTTTACGTTTTGATGCGATTTTTGAAGGCTCGAAACAAAGAATTTGAAGTTTTCCTTAAGTTTTCAACAGTGGGCTGTGGTGGAGAAAGGTGTGAAGGTTTTAGATTTGCTGACGGTTTCCGCTAGTTTTTTTTTTTCTCTTCCGACTGCATGCGTTTGCATACTGACCTAAAACTCATTCAGAATCGATTCTGTTTATCACTCGTAATTTTACGGCCTTACGAGTGTACGAATTCAGTGACTCGGGAACGAAAGACAAACACTAAAGTACAGTAAGTTAATATAACTTTATATTATTATAATATAATATATTAAATATTAATATATTTATTATTGAAACTGAAGTCTGTCTGTCATTATAACATTGCCAGAAAATTTTGAATTTCATATTGACGGTATATATCCCCAGGTTTACATGTACTGTACATGTCTGAGCCACATAAACACGTACACCGGCTCCGACGAGAATTTCCATGTACATGTACATCCACATTCACAGGTACATGTACGTCGGTGCGCGACAGGCCACAGTGTAACGTGCGCGGTATGTGGCTTATGGAATTCCATATCTGCCGTCGTGCGTCGTCCGTCGTCCGTTTATTTTCCCTTTTTTGTCTCGATTGCGCAGTGGTATTTTTTAACTTTGACCCTTGATCGTTTCACATGTCCACATACTTGTTCGATCAATCCATCGTGCCTGATTCTCATTTTAGCAGTAGAACTAGAAGATGTATTCGTTTTTGCAGTTGCGACGAACTCCACTTGAAAGAAAAAATAATATCCTTTGAGTTAAAAAAAAACCCAAAAATCAAACCAGTTCAAAAACTTAAACCAAGTGGTAATTGCCCCCAAACAATACATTTTATAAACAGTTTGTTATCCACAGCACGTCTAGTATTTCTGGATTTCAAGGTGAAATTGAGAGGACAAAATGGAATTTCTGTATCGGTTGGCAGATTTCTTTCTAGAATTTGATGAAAACAAGTCGGCACATTTTACAGTATGCAAATTAGAATAAGACTGTGGATAAGTTGGCCTGAACATTTTTGCTGAAAATGTTTTTCCACAAAAAACAATTGGTTGAATTCGCAGAAAGGCGATATTTTCTTGTCAAGGGGCAGGGGGTAGTCTAGCATTATTAGAATTAATTATGTGACTAGTATATGCTTTGCAGGTGGGATTTTTACTTGCCTTATTCGGAAAAGATCCTTTGAAATGAATGGAATCATCACATTTTCATTTGTTAAACCTCGGCTTTTGAAGGTCCTATGCTACCCATTTGATGGGCGACGCACGACGGGCGACGCACGACGGACGACGCACGACGGGCGACGCACGACGGGTGACGCACGACGGACAGTGGCATGTTTTTAACTAGTAAATGGCAGAATTGAGACACAACAAAAAGAAAAATGCGACGGGCGACGGGTGACGGCAGATATGGAATTCCATAGTGGCTCGATGGGTGTTGTGCATGTAACACACGTAGATCGCACTGCGCAGAAGTGTCTAAAATAACTTCTGAAAGTCACACCAAAAATCTAACCAGATAAAACTGATTGTATCGAGTAGTTGAGATTCTGGCCATCGTATGCAGTGTCACATTGCTCTGGGGAAACCTCTAAAATTGAGAAATTTAGTGCAAAAAAAACCCCAAGAGATCTAGTGAAAATGGAAGTAGTTTATCACCTTAGCAACCACTTTGAGGCTAAATTTCATATTTATTCAGCATCCCTTTTCACGAGTCTGTGGTGTATTATTCGGTTTGAGCCTTCTGGAGCAAAAACAAAGAGGTTCAATGAAATGCAAAATGAAGTCTTTCAAACGAGAAGTCTCAATAGAGGATTGGCAAAATGCTATGGACAATTACCTATGGTTCACGAGGGTCAGGTCAAGTAACCGCCGCGCACGGTCGAAGACGTTAATTTCCACGTGTCGCATGGGAGTGAGACATGCGTGGTCATGTGTGGTCTTTTGCGTATTACGCAGAACGCGTGCAAGAACCCGATTGTAACCACCAGTCTTTATTTTGCCAATTGGTGGTGCGCTTCCGCAAACCTACGGTACTCGCTACACCACGGAAAGTTTCAACTCCTTTGAAGTATGCCGCAATTCTGAAGTGTGTTTCCGTTTCTCGGTATGCAGCTCGAAATAGAGGACGGGTGGGTTATAAGGGGGTATTGTTCCTTGCAGCTTTAGGCCAGTATAGCAAGGATTCCGAGATTTTACTGATGCTCTGTCTTGTGTTCCGACCAGAGAGCTAGTTGGTGACGGTTTCGCCCAGCCGATGGATGTAACGAAGGTTGTTGCCAGAGTACTGTGCAGGTCGGGCTTCCAGTGCCGCCGGGCTCAAAAATACCTCTGGCAATGTACACCATGCCCACAAGGGCACTACGGTACTTACTGGACTGACCTCAATTATGAAAAGTGTCTCCCTTGTCCAGCAGGTAAGACTAAGAGGATCCTCCCCATCCTTCAGTCCATTCTAGTGCCATACAGGCACTCTACTTACGTGTGCTTTACACGCTGCCTGAGAATACCTTTGGCATAAAACGCTCGTGCACGGTAATCATCTTGTAGGGCTGTTCTTTCGCTGCCCGTGGAAACCTTCCTTGTGTATACCTTGTGATACAAAATGCACTATTCAGCAAGATGACAGCCAATTAAACCCGTACACAGTGTGCACATCACTCCAGATTTTATCCTTTGCCGCTGAAGGCCGATTCATACAGGCAAATGTGATGTGAAATCGAGGCGAATTCGAAGTCACAAATGATTTGCAGCAAAACTTCGCTTGAGTTGAGATGTGTTCGTCTATTGCAAACTCACAGTGCGAATACTTCATTTGACATCACAAATTTGCTTTTGTGTTCGTTTTCGTGGAAAGCAGGAATTGGCATAAAGATGACCCAGGGGGCTGCATTAAGTGTTTTGTATATCTTAAGCACTAGCATTCCTTTGGTCCTGCACCGCCTATCGGAGCAAGCACCAATTTCATAGTGCTTGGTTAGCGCTGGAGCCTTGCATTTTGTGTTGATGCTTGGAATAATTTGAACCCCCCAAAATAGAGAGAGGGTGGGGGAGGTGAAGAAGTTGAGGGGAAGGACTATGAAAGCTTGCGTCTTATGGTACACCTATACTGTATTTCTGCAGGCCTCCTGATTTTGTCGAAGGCTCCTGTTTTCCATAGGCTCCTTGACACACTATTCTCAGTAGACATTCCGCCTATGAATGCATTATGTCTTCCACACACCTTCTGGAGAAATCCATTTCACTGGTATCAACTTGATAAAAAATTGAAGGCCAGATGCATTCTGATTTCTTTTGGAGGAACATGACCATGGAACCGGACTCATGAAGAAATGTGCCATCATTTAGGCCAAGAGACCGAACTTTGAGCGACCTACCCAACTTCACTAGAGCAGGGCCAATGGAATAAGTGTTTTGAATAATATTTCATTACTTTTTAGAATTGAAGTCTTTTCTTGATTGGTTTTCAGGAGGGTTTTACCAAAGCAAGACAGGGCAAATTGCTGGCAAATCCAAATCAATCAACTGTCAAAAGTGCAACAACGGAACTTATGTCACCCCAGCTGCCCACCCTGGCATCAGTCCTGCAGACTGCGTTGTGTGTCCTACGGGAACCAAAAAGAACCTTCATGCGGGTTTTCGTGCATGTTCATGTGTGGATAATTACTACCGCAAGGATCGCTTCGGGGAGTGCTACCTGTGTCCAGCAGAGGGACTGAACTGCACAGGGGAGTACCAGCACCTCCTGCCCGGATTCTGGTGGACTTGGGATTGGGGTTCGGACGGAAACTTTCGATCCTATGAGCAGTTTGTCAAAAATCTGCGCACAATACCACCGACAAAAGACCACTGGACCGAGAGGTTTTTTGGCGCGCTTCCGCGAGTGCACCCTTGCCCGCGTGCAGAGTCTTGCGTGAATAACGGGGACAGCATCAGACCGACTTGTGATGACGGCTACGAGGGGTGGCTTTGCTCCGAGTGCCAGAAGGGGTACTATTCCTGGTTCGATCGCTGCTTCCATTGCCCGACCCTAGGGATGTTCCTGCTGGAAGTGGCGGCAGTCGCTGCTCTTATTGCACTGGTGATCACTTTAGTTGTCTGGGACTTACGTAAGAACAGCCGGACGAGCCGGTCTGTCATCAGTCTCATTCTGGCCAGATTTAAAATCATGCTGGGTTTTTACCAGGTAATGGGTGAGATATTCTCGGACCTGGATGAAATTCCTTGGCCAGGAACCTTGAAGGATATTGGTTCCTTTGTGAAACTCCTAGAGGTGAACGTCATGCAGTTGATCGTCAGTCCACGTTGCTACCTTCCCGATTTCACTTATCCAAATATATACATCGAGTTTGTGGCTGGGCTAGGCTTTCTTGTGGGCGTTGTATTTGCAGCATGGAGCTTCTATATTCTCGCCGTCTGCAGCTTACTGGTCAAGAAAACAACCGTTTCCAGGCGCAAGGAGGTTCTGGCAACTGCCAGGCAGAGGTGTTACTTATTTGTTGTCATGCTGCTCTTTGTGTCCTATCCCAGTTTGTCCAGTGTTATTTTCACCCTCTTGCCATCCGGCTGTGACCTCTTTTATCTGGATGAGAACGACGTATTTAACACCACGAGGCTTCGGTCAGATTTCTCCATCGACTGCACCACGGAGCAGCACGTTCACTTCACTCAAGCTGCCAGGGTGAGTCTCTCGTATGTCGCTGGCTTCCCGCTGGTGTTGCTCCTGTTGCTTTGGAGGAGTAACAGACAAAAGAAGAGTGTGGGCATCTGGAGTGGAGAAAGTGGAAGAAGGGGAAGTACGTCATCTAACACCCAAATGGAATCTGTGGAGCAGAGTTTGTGTCGTTTGCCCGGGCAGGCTACGGGTAATCACAGCATCAACGCGTACAACGAGCAGTTGATGGATGGCGGCAGTGCCCCGTGGCGTGCACCGGACACCCCGCATAGCTCTGCCGAAGGGCAAGGCCACGAGAAGATCAGCTGGAAGACCTTCTTGTGCGAAAATTACAAGCCCCAGTTCTGGTACTGGGAAGTAGTCGAGCTCGTCCGCAAGATCGTCCAGACACTGTTCGTGCTACTCTACGGGCCGGACGACCATTTTACCATGTTCGCCACCATCGCAATATCTGTCGGGTTCCTTCTCATCCACGCCTACGTCCGGCCCATGAAGGACGCCGCGGAGCACCGTCTACAGATGTGCTCTCTTGGTGCCATCTTCCTCAACCTGTTGGCGGCCTCTCTGCTCCTGTTACCAACTGATGAGCATAGCCAGTCTAAAGAGGAAAGGAAGGGTGCCCTCGCAGTCTTCCTGATTCTGCTGAATCTCAGTATCGTTGTTTTTGTCGCAGGTAAGTTCTGGCGGCTACGATTTTTTATTCTGGAGAAAAAACCAACTTGAACATAGCTCCGCATAATGTAGTTATCACGGGTGCTCTCCGCTCCAGGCGGGGCAGATGCAAATGACCAGGGATAGTGTTGCCACGCTCACCAAATTCGTCTATAAAACAAGGCATACGCGTATTTCCCAAGGACGTCATGTCAAACATCTGGACTCGTAATGCTGTTGTATTCTTTGAAGCCTCCAACGACCATCTTACCATTGCTAAAACAAGGTGGTCGTTGGCTCGCGTAACTATTTTACCACAAACGATTTGGTAACAATTGCGAGCAAGCCGTTCCATTATCTTTGCATTCCGTACGGAAAATGGCCGCCAGCAGCTTCAATGACCGACGTGAACCGATCAACGGCATCGCGAATTAGAAGGCCGGACTTTTTATATAACTTCTATACTATTTCCAGAGAAAATGGATATTATGCCTTCTGCGACATTCCTGTGATATTGATACGCCTGGGTTTACAGATCTCGTGTGCCCTAATAAATTATGCGCAGATTAACTCTTTCGAAACATATGGAAACTCCATTCAACTTACTGAACATTGTTACAGGAAGTCTCGTTTGGGGTGGAGTGAAGGCCCTGTGGAGGTGCGGATGTTGCAGCCGCACGCTGACTGGACTCCGCTGGTGTTTGCTTCAACGGCGTGGATCTAACGAAAACAGAGACCTTGACAGCAGCGGAGAGAGCACGTCACTGGTGCCAGGCCCAGAGTACTTGCAGAGGCCGTACGGGGAAATCATTGCCGAGCGCAGTTGAGTACCAGGCATCTGATGCTTTTCAGTGCCCATTTATTAGTGAATGGTGCTCGTCATTCGGTGCTTTTGCCCCACAAGAAAACAACTAGTAAAGGTCGTTCGAGCTTTTACTCCTGATTTCTCGTTGAAGGTTAAAATATTAAAATTGGAGGATTAAGGGTGGTTAGTATAAATTGTTAATGAATTATGACACAGCATAGCATAAACAATTTAAATCGATAATAACGTGAGATAATTATGGCGTGTGTATATGGCACATTTCAAATCCCGACGGACTCTCGATGCGCTTATACATCGTATCAGCCTGCTGACTGGGCCCACACCAACAGTCATATAAACCATCTGAACTCCCTAAGAGAAAACAACCATCGGTGTAACGGATAGTTTTATATAATTCCAGAGGGTATACAAAAATACGGGAAAATAGCTGTCGTCATTTTAATCGACAAAAGAAAGGTCTATAAGCCTGCACGCAACGAATCCCTACTAAACCCGATCACCATTTGAAAGTACTCGACGAAAGGATCGTTTTTATTCGAATTACGCAATTATTAATTATTTGAAGTTCAAACTTTTCTTGTGCCCATTAGGTCTTAGGACAGTGATGTTTTGTTTCTATACAAACTTTAACAATTTTGAAAAGAAAAGCTTCAGACGTTTGAAGGCTGAAAAATACTAGACTTGACATCTGTTTTTATCTGTTCCTTATTCCTATCCATTGAAAAGGTTCAAGGAAATGAACACGAATTCCTCAGTCAATCTCTGTAAAATTGATTTGAATTCTACACAATGTGTTTTATGCTTAAAGATGTAATTGTTGTGATCGGGAAGTGATCTCAAAATTCAGTTGAGGCCAAAATAAAAGCCAAAATTTAAGAAAAAACTACGGCTCTAATAACCCTCATATTAAGAGAAATTTCATTTAAAAGCTTTTTTCAATACTTGTTTTAACGTCTTTAAGTGTATACTTTACTTGCTTAACGGTACAAATATGACAGTTATTGCTCAGTGTATAAGTCGTAAATAAATGTTGCGGTACGGTGACCTACAGTTACGTTGTTCGATGGATATCTCCTTCACAAATTATTCAAAAATGTAATAGCGCACATTTATTCGCAGGGATAAAAACAGGTTTAGAAAATAATAATCAACAGCTGCACGAAAATGATATTTTTCCACTTAAAATGGATTAAAGACGCTCGAATATTGTCCAAACTTTTGGTTAGTATTTACACCGTTACATCACATTGCACAGTTGTTACCATGGTCAAAATACGGGCAATTCGCAATAGTGTGCCTCCAAGAATTTGAAACGCGTTGGTCAATCACGACGCGCAAAATCTGTTGACCCTTTCCAAAGGAATTGGGTTGCCAATTTCCCGCACTGTGATAGGTCAACGCGTTGCAAACTCTTGGAGGCGCACTATTGTGAAACGCCCATTAATGTACTCATTGTGTTGATTTTATGAGGAATTGTCTGCTGCCTGGATGTGCTTCAACTCGGCCTTTGTTGCGTTTAGGCATGCAACACCTCTTGTCTAAAAACAAAGCGAACTCTTCCTGAAGTGACATTTCCTCAAGATTAACTTTTTAACATTTTTAACATTGAACAAAATCTGAGTAGTAATTTACATTTTAAAGTAATATGAACATAGAGCAAGGTAGGACTTAATAATGTACAATATAACTGCAAAAGTTAAGATGGATAATTTTCTGTTGCCAAATCAACTCAGAACAAAGGAAAGAGGTTTCACAGGTTTTACACTCACGGGGGTGACGGGTTAGCAGTCAAAACGAGGTTGAAAGTAAAACTAACGCCTAGAGACGTCGGGCTGAGGTCGTCCTATATTTGCCTAGATAGGAGTGAGTTAGCACAACCAAAATATTGAATTTACTAGGCTGCTTTTGTAGTTAAAATTATACCCAGCATGATATGGGTCGGAGGAGTACCCCCATGTCAAAACTCTATAGACATTCCAGACTATTACCCCCTTAGATGTCTGAAAAGAATTCCTGAGATTTCGTCAAACAATGAAAAACATTGGGAGGGGTTCTCTCCGTCCCCTATCTTGCTTCAAATGGGTAAAATAGTCGCTTCCCGCTGTTCATGTGCAATTAATTCTGTATTTACGCTTGAAGACAGAAAGATAAATGGCAATATTTTTGAAGGATATGCCCACGGAGCTCCATAGCTTACGCCCGTCATGTTTCACAATTGCTCTAGATATTGTAGTGCGCGAATATGATCGATGAAACCCATAGCATTGTCTTGTGAAGTGACAATGGATTTTTTATAAATAATGAACAAATAGCTTTAGGGAGTTTTCAAGATGTATTTTTGGGTTTGGGAGATGTAAATTTATATAAAGGGTTTTGCCCTTACCCAACGTGTATATTAATAAACACTATATGCTCAGTGGTTGTCCGAGAGCTTGCGAAAAAAGACACAAGCTTACTCGGGTGGGACCCGAACCCACGACCTCCTGCTTACTTTAGGGAGTTTGTTGTTGCTGAGTTGAAACTTGAAGGACCCTATAGCTGTAGAGAATAAAATATCTTTATTTTTCAATGTGCAACAATAATGTTGAAGAGAGGATCAATGTGCCTGAAAATTACCATTGTTAAGAATCTGCATGGTTTTTATCTTTAATTTAAGGACTCGATTAAGATGACTAATACTACCGTTGTTCCAAGCAAGAATGCCTTTGAAAGGTACGGTAAGATAAGGATATTATACAAAGTCATTAAAATGCTCTGTGGAAAGATTGCTTTTAATTTTGAGATAATGCCTATATTCCTACATATAATTGTGGAAATATAACTGATGGGTTTGTTCCAGGTGAAGTGGTCATCTATGTATATAGTCCTAAGTTGAATCAGTTTTTGTAATACCGGTATCATCAATAAAACTCTCAGTTGGTGCCTGATGTTACTTTCTGCTAAATAGCATTCTTCGTCACGTTAAACAATAACTTATTTGCTTTAATCCAGGGGAATACTTTTTTATCTTAAAGTTAACTGTATCAAAAAGTGTTTTCACATTATAATGGCTATAAAAAGATTACTATCATCAGGAAAAAGAATGGGAAATATATGTGAAGATTGAACAAAGTCATTAATGAAAATAGAAAATAAGAGAGGACCCAAGATTCAGCCAACCAGGATAATGAACCAGCAAGTGGTGTATTCTAATTGATTATTACTTTACTCATCAGAGTACTTCTGGTTATTGAAAAGTCAAGGTACGGTAATGCAGTTGTTCAAGATTACTCTCCAGTTGTTTAAATGCTTAATCGTCAAAGAACTGAATGGTGCAGATAGTTGGAAGTTACTTCCCCGTCGTTTCCGTATCGAGGTTTCTTTTTTCTAGTACTTATGCAATATGCATTTCGCAACAGTACACTACAACAGTCGGGGAAACACTGTACATGTAAAACGAGGAAGTTATGCTATGGGTATAGACCTTCACGCCCACATAGGTCTTGGAAATTTGTATAAATCGGAGCCTCCACTCTTACAGCAGTCTAAGAGAATATTGAGCCAAGTAAACCAATCCTGCCCCTTTCTTTCGGTATTAAAAGCTTGAAATCGATCGGGACTTCGGGGCATAACTGTTCAAGATATCCCCAACATGAGGGGAACAAAGACAACAGGGTATTTCATAAAATTGGCGCTCTGCGTCGCGGTGAAGTGTGCGGCCCTTGCCATGACGGTACCGGCAAGTGAGGAAGCCTGCAGGTTATGTAAATGCAGCAATGAAGGGCCAAACGTGGTTGACTGCATGCAGAGGGGTCTCACAGAACTACCGACGGGGATACCGAACGATACGCAAGTGCTGTAAGTATGAGAAGACATTTGATGTGGAAACATTCGATTGTATTTGTTCCGGTCATTATGAACAAAACTATTATCATGAGATATTAACCAATTTCTTAAAACAGCCAACCATGCTTTTACCACCCGGTTGCTGACGCGAAACTGTGACACGACTGTGACGCTGAAAACTACGACCACGTGGCCTCCTATTTCCCAGTGTAGACGTTTACATTAATTCTTAACCTCGTTTAGTAAATTATACATAAAAACAACAGTTCTTACAAGAGTGCCAACCCTGGATTCGATCTCCGAACTGCTGATTAAAACTATCCAGCCAACCACGTCAGAACTGCAGTACACGCTGATTTCAATATTCCTTGGCCGACTAGGTTGAGACGTGTAAAACATAATGGCATAAGTTGTTCCAAAGTGATGTCATCATGATGCTTATTATTTGCAAACGTCAACCTTTTTGTGCCACGTTTGGTGCTTATGTCCAAATGATGGCCGGTGTCCATATTTGGAAGCTAAATTACGAATTCTTAAAAAATCAAGTAAGGGCAAGTTGATGACAACGTCATAAACTTTACCTAAAGTAATCCATGTACGATTTCCACCTAATTTGGAGTCAACCCACCCACGCTTTAAGACGTCATCATTACGTCAGGTCACTTAAACCACCCAAAAACTTCAAGTGATCAACGCGTGATTCCCATAAAATCTCATGAAAAGTTCTTCATAATTGTTTTTCCTATTCGAAGTCGAACAGACGGACAGAGCGAGTCGAAGAACACAACTATCTCGTTGAGGGTAATTGACTCTTTCACAAAAACTAAGCGAAAAGCAACAAACAGAGAAAGGGGGAGAATCCTCCTCATTGGTTAGCTAATTCCTGTTTATCAAAAGAGCCCTAACATAGCGTTGTTACACCCTCAAGAATCACCTTATTTCAAATGGTAAATGCATGCAGTATATCGTGTATCTCTGTAATGATTAATTAAGACTAACCATACGCATTGCCCAATTTCTAGAACCAGCGGCTGCCACCAATAAATTCGAAAGTGCTGTAGTTGAATATATTTAGATAAAATTATTAAGCATCGAAACCACTTATAAGCAAACAACAATCCACAGACCACCAAAATTAGCAACGGAAAATCGGCAATAAGGAAATAGTATACACGCTAAAAACCCCAGGACACATTAGACTTCCATAATTTTCTTTGATACGCACATTTTCCATTGCAGTCAGTCAGTTTACTTTCTGCACAAAAGAAACTGCAACTGCAACTGAAAATGAAGATGTTTCGTGGATTTCTCCTTCCTTGTATTTGGACCTCTATTAAAGAAAATCTTTTGGAGGAAGTTGGCAGGACCTAAGGGCCACGCGCACTTTGGCTACTCTCGATGTTCAGATGAGCAGGAAGTATTGCTTGCACATAACTCTCGGATCACGTCACACAAACTGAAACTTCCCCCTCCTGCCATCTTGGAAATAACCACGTAATGTAAGAGTACATACTTCCCGCCTGACTGACTGCGCTCCTGCCGTTCATGAGTTGGAGAGCATGGGTGTGTTGGCACGAGCAACACAACCAGGTGGAGCACGAGTTCAGATTAACAGGAGTCTACGGGAGACTTGGGGTCCGGTCTCCCATTCGTACAACACGACACGAGCATATGGAAATGGCCTCTTCGATCACTGTTTAGCACAATTGAAATTCACCGAAGCGTTAGGCACGCGAAATCATTGGACTAGTCTAAGAATGGTTTCCAAACCACTTAAATGATTGTAATCAAGACTTGTCTAGGAACTGCTGACTGACCATTATTTTTGATCCTCTTGCTAATGTTAACAAAACCACAGAACAATGGCAGTTTCATCAAACATACTTGAATTATGTTATATATATGTACTAGGATTTGCGTTTACAACAGTGTAAACATTCACACTGTATTCTTAGCGCGGTGTCAAGGAGTTGTGGAAAGCCATGCGCTTGCTCCACTGGGATTCAATCCCTCCTTACCTTCTTTTGTTCCAACCGGGTACAGCTTTAGGGACAAAAACTACTACAGGTAACATATGTCATCAACGCATTTGGGTTCAACTCCAATTGGGGTGCAAACCATTTCCTTTTCGTACGTGGCTGCCCCCCCCCCCATTTGTGTAAGTGCTAGATCCGATACCTATGACAGACTTTCTTTATCGTCCCGGAGCCGCGTGAAAACTACTGTGATGAGGACAATGTTATTTTAAACTGGGTTGACAGCACAGGACGGTCCGTGTACATTTCGCAAACTTGAACCAGGAAGTTTTAGAATTTCCGAATTTGATTCACTTTCCATTCTAGGTTAAGGTTCTCTTAAAGTGAATGAACACTGGAATCTATGATCAGTGGAAGCAGTGCCTTAAAGGGCCCAGCAGTGTAACTGTATTTAATTCTTTTGAATGCTTCTTTATGCCCAAATTAACCAGATTTTTAATGTTTGTGGTGACATTTTAAAAGTAGGTTTTAGCCAAAGTGTTATGTCATCCAAGGAAGAAACGTCAGTTTTACAGCACTAAAACTTGTTCTTCCTGCACTCTGGAGTACAGAATCAGTAGAATAAACCTTAAACACTGCCTTAAAGAGCCCCCGCATTGTGATTGTTTTAAGTCAGAGTTCTTTAATTAAATGCTCCAGTGTGACCAGAATTTCAAATGTTTGATATATCATTTTAAAGGTACCAAATTTTCACGTTGAACCGAATTTCAATTTTTCAGCAAAAGTATGATGTCATGCAAATAAAACACAGAAACGTTGATGTTACAGATTTCTTCACAACAATTTGCCAAACTTTCGACATATTTTTCTTTTTTTGTTTAAATTTGGTGATTCGTAATTTTATCAGTTCATTGCAGCAAGCCAGTATGCCACGTTTCCCATATTGTACTAGTATGAAAGTTTTGAATAAATAACGTTTCTTATGGTGCCGTCAATGCCCTCTAATTGTCGGAAACAGAGTGCCTGGAAAAAGTTTTCAATAACAATAACCATACAAGGATGTCAAAATGCGATCTCTTTTTTAAGGGTACGAGAATATTACCTATTGAAGTAAATTTTGATGTCAAGGTCCTTTAAGGTTTCATCGGATTGCCTTCATAAAATGGCACACTGCTTTATATCCTCGTCATGGTGGCTGTCTTACTGTTCTGAGACAAGGTTTCCTGCAACAAAATCTGATTTTTTTTTTGCTCCGAACTCTTAGCATAATAATCATACTTAAGGTGCGTTTCTTTCGAACTCTACAGAAAAATATAGCAAATGTACTTGGCGTGAATTTGTAAATACCGAGAGGAAAATCTCTTTTAAATGATGGGCGTTCACACTGTTGTTCATATTTTTTCGAACCCCTTGTCTTTTTACACCTTGGTTTGTTTCAATTGCAGCAACTTGGGTGGAAATCAATTGACCAGGATACCATACGATGCCTTGTTACAACTTGAGTCACTTATAACGCTGTGAGTATAGCAATGGGTCGTGCACGAACCTAAACTTAAAAATAGCACCTTTGAGAATGAATGAATTAATAATATTTAAGAGAGGCCTGAACTCTTTAACCCTCAATAATGCTTGCGTTTGGTACTTGATAGTGTGGGGGCTATCCCTATATAGATGGAATCAAATCTAGCACTATTTGTGGCAGATTCGATTTTTCCCCAAGCCAAGGTTTTTCCCCACACGATAAATCACTCGAGCGACCTCATGGCTAAGGACGCGGGTCCGTTTTGGAGGAAACATGCAGCATGTTGTGACCGGCTTTAAGCCTCTGTTGAAATTTCACAGTGAACCTGTAAAGAAAATAATGTCGGCACAGGAAGTATGTTTCTTTGACAATAATCTGCAATTGGGATGTACAGTAATGTGATTGGGGAGGCTTGCATTATTATTTATTACCTATACATCCATCACATTTTTAAACGTGACTTACAAAATAGTTACACAAATCCGCTAATCAGTGTGTATTCACCCTGTAAAATGTTAACCATTATACTATTCGAATGTTAACGACAACGACTTCGGAATACATGTGGGATATTTCAGAAAATGTAGAAATTCCTTATTTCATCCAGACGTTTAGGGAGTTACGATAAGTCCAATGTCAAAGAGCCCCAATGTTATCAGTTTTGTAATGGTCTGATTATTTATTTTAAATGTACTTGCAAACCACCAGTGCATTAGAGATACGTCGTAGGTACAGTGTAAATTGAGCTTTAGGTTGACTTTTTATTGTTTCTGTATCACTCTACAAACGATTCTAAAGTTCTACATCAGACTCTCAGTTATACAGTTGTCAGGTATTTTAATCACAAAATCGGACACTTGTTCTTCCTCGTCAGTTTCACTACTATTTCATTACATATTCATTTCGAACAGGCACTGTTTCAGATCAGATTTCAGATTGAGAATAATTATATTTCACAGTTAGTCACTTCGACACCAAGGCCTTCCAATGTTGAGACATTTTGGACGTCAGATCTTGATCAGATTGAAGGCTATTTCAGACTTTTCGATATGAATGTGCAGCAATGTTGTGGCTACCACACCACACCACACCCCACGAAAACTCCGAAAAATATGGACCAGGTAACAGAGTTCAAAAAGTAGCACATATAATCTTGAAAAATTCATACTGGCCCAGATCTTACTGATTATTGGGTGAACAAAATCACCGCCTGCAAGAGCGAATCCAGGAGAGGGGCAACAGGAACCACACCCTCTCTCCAAAAGGAGCCATGGTTGGAAAAGTATTAAGAGGAAGACTATTATTGGCTTATTTCATTTCTCTCCCTTCCAAAAGCCCCACCCCTCAGAAATGCCATGAAAGATTGTATGGGACAAATTCAAACTTTTCGGCCCCAAAACTTAAAACGAGTTTGCCCCCTATTCAAAAATATGGTTCTGGGTCCGTCACCGCATTCTGCACTATGACGAAGCCATACATACCATTGCTCTCCGTCACTGCTCTGCCTTCTTGAGATGATCTTTAGCGCCGAGAGCCCTTGTAACGCGGTTAGCATGATAGATCTAACAAGGGCACGCAATCTTAACTAGTGATTGTCTTACCTATCATGAGTTACCTCTTTTGGCCGCAAAACAGGACTACCTTGTCCGTAATTATTGTTATCGGTTTGGGCATCCCTTTGATAGGTTATTTCGTTTCTTTCCTAAGTTTTTTTGCATTTAAGTTCAACAGTAATTACTTCACTTCAATACAAGCTATCGACATTGGTAACTATGCTTCTTTGCGTGGCTTGTGTATCACATTAATGCAATAATATATTGATGCCACGTTTTACAGAGCAGCATTTCACTCTAAAATCCTGGTTTATCAATGGAAATAAACCTGTCGGATGGGGGGGTTCTTTGTACAACATGTCATTGTGGAGAACGGCTGATGTGTGGTCCAGCTTCATTATTGTATGAGTGTTCAGGGGCTACCTGAGGTTTGAAACTCTCAACTCACAGTCGATTTACGTGAGATTTGTCACAGTGCGACTTCCACTTGTGGCTTGCATCTGCAAAGTGATGCAACTACAAATCGACAACCTTTCCTCAGATCTTTAACCACGGAATTTGTTTCAGCTTCGTGACATTTAAATTTGGTATAGGTGCGTCCACCATATTGCCAGTTCTACTCTGTTTCTCTCTGCCGTTGTTTCATCTCAGCCTATGCCCAAAATTACACTTAGAACACGTTTTTCTTCATATTTTCAATCCCATTCCGTATAAGTTAACGTTTGATAATGGTGGTATTAAAAGAGGATCCTTCTTTTTGGTGACGCACATGAAGCTTTGGGCCCTTGTACAAAAATGTGCAGGGTCATAGGAGGTACAACGGAACACATTCCACGGGATTCTCTCTCACGCCTTGCAAAGCTGAAAACGGTTAAGCAAAAAAGTCTACATTTTTTCTAACATTGGATGTCGGTAACACACAAGGAGGTAAAGAGTTTATTTTGCCAGTACACGCTTGGCTGATATCTTCTTTAAAATTGGATTGTGGCCATCTGAAACTAAAGAAGTACCCTTCTTTTCACAGGAATGTTACAAAGAATCGTATTTCAACGCCATTCGAACTACCTGAAACTGTCATATCACTGTAAGTACTGAAAATGTGGAAAGCTGTGCAAGCCATCTGCTGTGATAAAGATTACACATAATGCAATAGAAAGGTGTTTTCAAGTGGCAGATCCAACGTTTTACGAGAAGGGACGCGCCCAGTATCTACACAAAAGGTCTGCGGTGCGCAGAGGTTAAACTTTAATCTTCCAGTAGAGCATGCTAAAGTGGAGTTTTTGTCATGTAAATTTAATATTAAATAACCATTTGAAATATGCAACAAGACAAGGAAAAAGAGATATATATCACGTCCAGTCTTTGGATCTGCTGTGTTATCTTCTTTCCTTTTTGTTGTCGCTTGCTGCACTGTCAAATACGAAACATTTAAGCAACTAATCGGCCGTACATTAACACGGAATGATCACGACACTGATCGTGCCGCACTACGACCTGACCAGCCATTAAGAACTTAACAAGGAGCTTCTTCAAATTTGTACGTAATTGGAAGTAGTAACTGGAATACTTTCCATTCTCTCCAGATTTGCAGGAGAAAATGAATTTCGAGACATTAAGCCACTGGTGAAAAATGGAGTCAATCTGCAGGCAGTGTAAGCCAGAATGCTTCAAGAACAAAAATGGCAACGAAAACTTTGCGAATAATGTCACATTTAAGTATTTTGAATACTGCAGCTCTTTTATTATGGCAGGATAACAAACGATTAGGAATGCTGTCACTGTTAGAATTGAGTCTATTAAAGATTCAGATATTGAAGGCAATTTTCGAAAATTGAATGAATGGAATCACATTTCACTGGAAGCACGTCTTTACCCCATATCTTTTTCGAAATTTTATCCAGAGTTTTCAGAAGTAATAACCTGCAGGTGATAGAGACAGATACCTTTAAAAGATGCCAGAAATTATTAAAGTTGTAAGTATTTTGTTCCACCTTTTTCTTGTTCGACGTAGTTGCGATATCACCGTACCAAAGCCAACTGCAATGGCCATGAGCGTGAAATTTAATGACTTATTGGATGCAGACCTCTGAATTGAGTTTTAAAAGGGAGCGGACTTTTCTCCATGACGTATGCATTTTAAGAAAAATTGTCCAATTTATTGTGTGTAAAAATCTGTAAAACATGGCGTCTCTTTGCAAGTGCAGATTTGTTCCAGAAGATTCATATGTGAAAATCGTTCAGCACTTAATGTTATCCACAGAGATTTGAAGTCAAACAGCATAAGAGAAGTACAAGCAAGGGGTCTAGCGGGACCACAGGGAATGACCAAACTGTGAGTATCCCGTGTGCGCCCTTTAGGTACCGGTAGGTCTGTTCTAATGGCTATTAAGGGGTTGTCTGGTAACTGGATATCATACAGAAGGAAAACTGCGATACGAGTTTTCCAAAAGAAATACTCTTCACAATGACATAGCGCTCTTCCTAGGATTTTAAAGCTCAGCAGGATGGAGTGATTTTTTTCAGTATCTAATATGAAATCTACACTATTTCACTGCTGCGGTTAGTGCACGCAGGCTGACACGCATAGCAAAAGAACAAAAGAACATATATGTCTGATTGAGTTCAAACTTCACCTGTAATGATAAGGGACATGTACATGCACGCCAGGTTTTAAAAAATCGATCACTGCACAGCCGTGTTCTGGGGGAGGGGTTTCCGCCCTCCAGATGTGCAATGGGCCAAAACGTCATGGCTCTTTGATAAGAACTATGAACGCACATGTATCTGGGTCGGCAGAAATGTTTTCAATTCAAGCCACTTGGTTCGATTTAAATTATCCCTTTGCCATCGGTGAGCCTCTATGAATTCGACGTAGAGGAATTATAACCATATTTTAATTGATACAGTAATAACCCAGGCTTGATTAAAACTCACTCTATTTAGCAAATTTTGACCAACATTTCTAATTTTATTGAAATAAATGTGTACTTCAGAGATAAAAAGTAAATTGTACATTGATACTTTTTCCAAACTAAGAAGTCGACACTTACATTGAAGTAAAGTTTAACGCAATTAATACGCCTGCCCTGTCTGCCTACATTACGAAATTTATTGTTTTCCGCGTCATTCTACCAATGCAACTGTTATTTGCACTGAATTGCTGGTGGTTTGCACATGGCGAAGTACCAGATAGATCTTTATCATTTTTGTCAGGCAAGTCTCATTAATGAATCACGTCTTTACTGTGCCTAAGGCATATGGGAAGTAACAAGCTCAAGACTTTGGGACCCGCTGCTACAGAGGGGCTTCAAATCCAGGAAATGTAAGTCATCCAGTTCTATTTATTTTTGACATCATTCTGTTGGTCAGATTTTCAACTGATCACGATGGCCATGACCTGAACGTTTTCGGATGATCAGTGTGAACTAAGAGCAAGCGCAACTGAAATATTCAGGAGCGGGAATTAGAGGCCTTTCTGATTGTATAAGGAGAGGTGGATTTGGATGGTCGTTGTTTCAAAAGAATGAGAAATGTTCACCATCTACAATTTCTTTGCAAGCCCACTGTCAGTGTTATTGCAGCTCAGTGCTTTTGTTCCTCACACGACGCATTTTGCAAAGTCCTCATACTGAAATACAACAAATGTAAATCGAAAAGCATCCGTAATGGCTTATAAAAAGGGGATGCAGGTCGTAATTCCCATGCCGAATGTAACAGCAATATGCATGTACATGTACACACAAATTTTATCACCGACGCAGATTTATCAAAAACATTGGCGAATCATGATCTTTAAACTTACATGTATCTCTGATAACTGCTCAACAATTAAGTGAAAAAAAAGATCCATCCTTTTGTATGGCAGAATTCTTTACGATAACGACTTGAACGTTTTGAAGACTCACACGTTTGGAAAGGCAACGAACTTGGGACGATTGTAAGTGTCTTTGTGAGTATATGAAAATTAACACGTATAAAGCCTATGTACACGACGTGTAGAGGGCGTTCATGTTTCGCTAGCACCAGCAACTGCCCCAAGTACATTTTACACAATTATTCGTCGAAGAGTAAGGCTTTGCGCCCGGTTCATGCGTAGTTTGAATTTCTGGTAAATGTAATTGAAGGTGACGCGCATTAATTCACAGTTGTGGTGTGGGCAAACTGTCTTCTTTTTTAAACTTAGAGTCCTTGACAACTGCAAAGTAGAGGAGATCCCAAGCGGGCTTTTTGTCGATCCTTCGGTGGAGTATTACGAGAGAGACGTGAATCGTCTGTAAGTGCAAAACTTTGATCGTTATGTACATCATAGAAATCATTCCCTAAAATCCTAAAGGTAAATTTAGTATACATAAACCGTTCCATTGAAATCCTAAAATACAGCTGAAGTGAACGGGACTAGGGAAAATGTTTTCTGCCCCGTTTTGGATGTTTTCAAAGTTTGCTTACTGGTTTACAGTTTTAATGTTATTAATTAGTCACTATATGCTTGACAATAATAAATTTACAGTAGCAGACTCAGCATTATCAAAATGTATGATGATGGTAATGCTGTGAGGAAATTGCATTTATGAATCGAACGTGGCAAAAAAAATCCCTTTTAAAGCTCAATACTAATACGGCAAAACGTCTTTCGTTTTCTTTTTAAGTGACCTGGGTAGTAATATGATAAAACGTGTTTCTCCGGGGGCATTTCAAGGTGTGAAAAGCTTCGATAAATTGTAAGTAATAATGATATTTAGATGTTCTAATTTTCTAGTTTTATTAGAAACTGTGCATCCAATTTCTTATTATTTACTTCGTTGGCATACCGGGGAGCTGAAATAAATGATTTCTGGTATAGGCACCCACAAGGATGTTAATGTATACTTTAAAGGGAGGTTAGGCCTACACCTTTGTTTTTTCCCGTGATTTTAAAGATTTGGCAGATTTAGGGGTATAAAATTAACCACAGTTTTCATTCCACTGACTTATGTCATGTTTGAGTTAACTGATTTGAGAGAAACTAAGAAAAACTCAGACTGCCTTTTGAACGGTCAAGAACAGCTTGTAATTTATTTTGCGCAAAATCCATGAACTGCAGGGCGGTCTGAGTGATCAGCAACTTACACGCAGGGGTCCATCCACAGGTGAACAAGCACGACAAGTGTCGTTGCTCCTTTTAAACGAGCTTTTCTCCACAGCCAAGAGTTATCAGTAAATTTACTCTGAAGTAATATGTCTCTTCTAAAATTCAACATTGTGGATTTTTTGCGTCAGAGCAAATCTAAAATACATTCTCAATTTACTTACTAATAATATGCGCACAGATGAAATAAAATCTTGAAATACGGAAAGTTTAACGTCTGAAAATCGTGGCTTCTGTTGACGAAAATCTGGCTGTGCATGAACTGGGAACGTCCGCCATGTTACAGATTGAAATGTACCATTATTCTTCAGGGGCGGGTATTGGGAACGAAAAGTTTTGGCGTTAAGAAAGTCCCTTTTAGTTGATAAAATTTAACTTCGAACTGATCTATTTTCTTTTATAATTTATACTTTACACATATTTCCTATACTCTTTCAGTTTTCAATGCGTTTGTGAATTTCTGCCGGTGCGTTTTTGGTACCTTTAGTATTATTCATTTATAATGGGTCCCACATCTGTAAACACGCGACACAAAAATCGGCGCCGGTTAACGGATACGGATAGTTAAAACAGAACAAATTCTTCCACGAGGGTTGGCCAGTCATCATGAGAAAAATGGACAAAGTTTCTGTTTTTTCGAAAACTACAGAATTCTGGGCGAAAATATTTCACTGACTAGGGGTATTATTTGCTTTCTTTCAAGTAAGATATTCCAGGATTGTTGGCAGCAACATGTTTTGTGATTTAACCAATGGCGTCACCTACCTTTAAGCTCCTTACAGCCTAGACTTGACCAAGTCAGGATCCTCCGTGACGTTTGTCTGCTTAAATGTTTATGCTTGGCTATGGAGGTTTTTCATCTTTGCGCGGCGTTACTTGCTTTGCGACCTCTTGTGTCCACTTATAGACCGTGCACTAATACATTCATAATTATGCATGCATGGGCACAAATGGCCTTTGTGGCAAGAAGTGTGAGCGGCGAAAATGTACAGGGGATCACTTTCAGTTTTCCGGCTTTGTTATTTTTTTTTCTTCAGAGAATCCCATTAAATCGTGTTTGCTATTAGTTTTTTATTTAAAGAGAAATTTTAAGAGCTCTGTAAAAAGACTTTATTATCGTAATTTTTCCTGTGTGCACGAGATCGCCGTTTCTTAGTATGGCCTCCTTCCATCAAGTCATATAAACTACCTCGTTAGTGTTCGTGGAGCCAACCTGTAGGCCATGTACATTTGTAAAACACGTACTGATGTTCAATGTACATGTACCGGTACTGTACCCATTCGATTCGCTGCTTTCTGCACTTGGGAAATCTGAAGAACCAGATTTCTTTCTCTTTGGCATGTGCACATTGTCTTGTACAACCCCAAACACAGCAACTGGATACCATTTCTTTCGGTAGTACTCCAAGATATGACCAAATTCAATGGTAAGCTATGTACTTACAGTATACTATACTGACGAGCCTAATTTAAAAATGTCAATTTTTTTTGAGTTTTGCACCGCAGAAGACCGGGGCTTTTATAGGGGAAAGTTTAGGTGGGGTGCTCACTCAGAGTCGCATGACTTCGGGGAGTTCTAATATTGCAGCTTTATGGACAGTAATTTCTCATATTTCCTTAGTATCACATTGTGTCTGATTTCGGTTGCACTGCAGACAATTGCCACATAATAAATTGATCACTCTTCCGGAAGACATGTTTGCGACCTCCAAACGCATTGGTGATTTGTAAGTATTTTAGAGTACATTAGCTATATTAGATATGCGTTTGGAAGGATACTTTATTATGCATTCAGACGAAAATATGAAAAGATACATACAATGTCATGTGGTAAAATCACCATACCCATAACGATCTAATTTCAGAATACTATCCAACAACCAGCTTGTGTCTAGAGGCCTACCGCTCAATCTGTTCATCAACACATCGATTACGACATCACTGTAAGATCTGCATGTTCACTTTCGTCTAGTACGGTGCGTGTTTGCGTAAACCAAGATAACGCAAGTCTTCCAATGAGTACTGTTAAAGCTTCAGTTGTGCGTTAACATTTTTACATCTTTTGACCATGACTGTTAGAGAAATGGTTTAGCTGGAGCTCGAAAGCCAAAGAACTCCTTGTCCCAAGGGCTTATAAATGAAGACCGTCCCGTGCACGATTGTTTCTTAATTCTTTGACGTGGGAATAACTCGGGAACTGAAAGGTTCACAATCCTCAGAGATGCATAGCGGCGTTAGACCGTGTCATGTATTCCTTTTTTGGCCTCAACATCTGTTGTTGAACGAGCATTTCGAATATTCTTTTGTGTCCTTGGTTTTAAACTCATAATTTGGTTCAGAAAGGCAACGTTTTATTATTTTTCAGGCAGTTTTGTTTGATTAATCGTGAACTGAAGTACCATCTGAAATATTATTACCTTTGTCTTGCTCTTGTTCTGAAGAGACATTTCATCCAATCAGCTGACAACTTTTCCAGAGGAACTACTTCGGTCACAGCACAAACTCCAAAACCTGTACATACATCGCAACAAGATCAGTTCTCTGAATAGTGGAGCGTTCAAAGGCATGGAGTCACTGAAAGAACTGTAAGCGATTGGGGGAGGGGGCCCCTATAAAATAACAAAAACAAACTGACCTTATTTTCCTTTTATTCCAAGAGCTTTATTGGTGGATAAACGCATACTGTGTAAGTTCACCTGGCAGTATTGTTGACCCATTAAAAAAAATGACGACAGTACTTGTGGCTGTCAATTTAGGGAAGCTCTTACACTGACGTTTTGTTTGCTTCTTCGGAAAGGAATTTGGGCCAGATTCCAAAACCAGTACCGGTGGTTGAGGCTGGCCGGGTTTAATGTATTGGATAGCCTGCATTGTTATTTGTTATATTGTGTTTTCTCAACGTTTGTAGTAGGCTCACGTTGCAGGCCCAGGTGTAATTTAGTACGATAGATTAAAGCATGCTATTTATCAAAGTGGAAAACTTTGTTTACTATCGTCGGCATTTTGACGAGGTAGGACTGAAAGGACTTACAACGGGGTCAGAGTTGTCTAGTTTACGTAGGCACCGTGCCTGAGTAAGGGCGCCCTCATCCTTCCAATACGCGTCACAGAGGTAATTAACATAAAGTTTAGACTTTTGGCGCTTCCTGTGTGCGCAGTGTCAAGGTGGTCGCTTTCTTTGGGTTTTGAACTGTGTAGAGCCTTAATTAAACTCTCTGCCTATCCTTTGATTTTGCAGGGAGCTTGGCGCCGGCCATGTTTCCCATATAAGCCTTGGGGAAAGGTACCTTTCACTAGTTGAAATCATATTTTGTATTATCTTTTTTGTCGAATATATTGTGTGATTTTCGGGGCACAACGTAGCGACTGTTAGAATAGAGTTTATATTGTGCATTGTACATGTACTGTTGTGCTTGTATGTGACATCTGACTAGTCATCTCATTGTATTTACTGAGCAATCCTGCTATTATATTTGGGGACAAATTGTGATTTAGCATAATAATTTAGATGTCATTTGCTTTGGGCCTGTATCTGTTCTTGTATACTGAAATCCCAAATGCTCGTCCGTTTTAATTAGGGGACCGTTCCTCCCTCCTCCCACCGCCCAACTGACGTTTGGCTGGTCCTCGACATTGTTTTGTTCCTTACGGACGCCCTGTATTCAGTTCAGTTTAGTTAATCATAAAGCAAGCATTTGATTGGATACTTTCTCATTTCGAATGAAATCACGAAATCACTGCTGAGACAAAATATTAATCTTTCAAGTGTTTCACTAAACTTTCGTCAATTGTACTCTAGTATTTCAAAAGGAAAGCACAAGCTAAATAACAAAAATAACCTTTACCTAGATTTGAAACACTGCCAGCTAAACGTTCACGCTCTGGACTACAATTACTCCGCAAATCACGGTTCAAAATTGTAAGATTCAATTATCTTAACTCGGATTTTGCAATAATCTATAGAAACTTTCATGTCGTTTTATCCGTTGTTTTGTACAGAATGATATTTGACAATCCTATTACCTATTTACCGGATTGGGTCTTCTATGAGACGAAATTGGTGAACTTGTGAGTATAGATTAATCATTAATTCTAACCTGGGTCATTTATTGAAAATGTGGAATGTAGTCGGAATTCTTGTAGTTTGTTTATATATTCTGGTTAATTTATACTTTTTGATCCCATAGCTGTATAGGGGCTTAACGAAATTGGCTACAAAGTGTTTGCTTTTTGCAAAAGGTAATTATGTACACTTTACTGACTGGGTTTGAGGTTGATTGATACGGGTTAGTCGTAGATATGGGATCACTCAAAAGGTAAGTAAATTGTGACAATGTTTTCTTTTTTATTGTTTGGAGCAGATACATGTTTCAGACGAACCTTTCAGCCATAGGATCCAGACCTTTCGCAACAATAAGAAAAACTCTCCAGCAAGTGTAAGTGCGCTTTCCCTTAGGTGCTTGATAATCAAGACGTCAACCTCGGCGGAATGCAATCGAGCTACCTTCGATTCCAAGTAGAAAAATCTCCCAAGGTTCAAGGGGATTTTCTACTCAATACCTACAAATGCATTTCGAAATGCGGATGGGCAACCATAACCGCTGAAACAAAACACAGACCATGACGTCACCCCGCACACACCGTACCTCCCACAAGTCCTTGCGTAGCGCACTCCCTTTTTAAAAGAAGAATCAATCACTATGGGGGCTGATATAAAAGGTGAGAAAAATCCCCTTGGATTTGGGACGATTCTGTTGCAGAACATACGTCACCTTCGATACCTAAAAATGCAGAGTAGCATCGGAGTGTATAGAAACAGGGCGGGAACGCGCAGGGTGTGGGCCAGGAAACGAATTAACCAAGCCTGTCTACAATGAAACATATATTTAGAAGCCAAGTTTAGTCAAGACATACCCATGAGTACGACATCTAAAACATTTGCTCAGGATGTATCGACTTCTCATCTTGATTCCTGGCTGCTGTTCGTGCAGTAGTTTTGAGAACTTCCAGTTTGGAGAACGTCTCCCAGATAGCACGATGCAAAAGTTAACAGGTTTCTCCAACATGTAGCCCGTATAATATTCGAAACTGCCATACCCTTAAAAAGGGATCACGATGTTTTCATGCTCCATGTCTGAGACCTCGCCCTGAGATGTGTATAACATCTAGGGCTGTCGTAGGTGAGCCTTGCCTGCCTCAAGCCGAGTCTTTGGCTCGAGTGGGTCAGAAGTCGAAGATGGAACTCGATGGCTCTAAAGATACAGAACATGCAGAATCCTATTATGCAACATTGGTGGCTCCATTGGTGATGTTGCAGAAGCTGATGTATAAGGCTGTGACCCGCTTCTGGCAAGGGTGAGACCTCCACAATCCAACAATTGAACAGTTGAGTGAAGTCACCTCGGAGTTCTATGGTGGGAACAATGTAGAATTTCAGTACATGTATTCCGACAGGTCACTATTAATTTGTTTACCTTGCATGCATGCATGTCAAGTTAAAGACAAAAAAATGTCTGTAAGAAAGTGATTAGACTTGGTCAGGAATTCCGTCTGGGGGAAGGAGACCTCTTTCGATAGAGAACCATGGAGTTCAATCCTTCAATGAGCTGTGGACACAAGTAAACGTAGGAATGCCGTTTTTACTGTGAGGTTAAGAAGAAAGTGAGAAAGACCCAGCCGATTAATGATTTTTTTAGTTGCTTCATGAGAACAGTGCAAGATTCCATCCTGATATTTTAGACTTGGTAAAGGGTTGTTCAGCGACACATTTCCTTCATCAGGTGATAGATGCAAGCATTGTAGGATAGGCTTGATCCATCAACAAATGCCTTGGATATTCAGTAACAATGAATGGTGGTGACTTGTCGCCTGGATCGAAAAGGGGATACAGCAAAACATTCCTGATGATTGCTAAAGATGCGGAATGGATGCCCAACACTTTTTGTGCACGTGATTCGAAATGGTGCTATTGCTGAATGTCGTATAATCTGCTGGTCGACGGTTATCTACTTCCAGCTGCTAAGCAGTCAGAATCTTGTGAAAGGTCTGCTGCTTTGAAGGAGGGTCGGAAGTATCCAGGCTAATTGAAGATCACTGTAAGGGACTGGAAGAAGTATTTTGGAAACAAAGCTTGCCATGTCAATAATGGAGGACACATGGTCAAGCTGCATTTTTCTTGCCGGATTTCGATCAGCACTTAGCAGAACGTCTGTAACTGGAAGCCTAGGTATAGGGCAAATGTGTAGAGTTCCAAGGGAAAATATATTGATCATGTGCTGCACTGACAAATGGTTTCTACTACCAGACATCCTTGTCTGCAGAGAGATCTAGGGAGCGAGTGATGCACTATCTGACGAGCTGGAAATTTAGCATACACAGGGAAGGATAGAGCCACTACCGAAGCGCTGTCTTGACACGAGTGAGGCAGCTGATGGCCTTATCCTAGTGGCCTGAAGAAATCACAGGACAGTCTGTTTGGGCTAGTTGACATGAAAGAGTTTTTTTAACAGAAATAAAGATCCTGTAAGGGATGGGTCGTCTGGAGGTGCATGTCGTTCAGGCTCCGAAGCGTTCGTTGTGAGCGTACAGGTAGGCTAGCTGTTGGGCACGACCCTGGGAGAGGAGATTCTGACGACACATCCTCAAACGCTGGTAAGCTCAAATGGGAGCGTTCATCCAAACGAGGGTAAAGACAGCATCCTTTCGAGGACAGTTCTGAGAAGGGATGAAAAGGCTGAAGTGGGCTTATGTGCAAATTCACCCGATCCTCTACTTATAAATGAGGCCTGTGCAGCAAAATAGCCTGCAAGAACTGTGATGCTAATATATTTTCGTATGATGCAAATCAGTAGGCAAACGTGTAAGTGAGGCTAGTCAGCGTCACGAAAATTTTCAAGCAGAAGGCACGAACAAGCCTCGCTTATACGTTTGCCGACTGTTACCTGACGGTTAAAGCATGGTTATTTTACTGCACAGGCCTGACTTATAAGTAGCAGTGGGTAGTCGGATAGGGTGGCAAATGGTAGTATGGTACAGTGCCATCAAAGTTCGCCAAGAAGGCGAGGAGCCGGAGCTGAAGCCGTACTCAGGTTGGGTTAGAAAAATTCTCTGTGAAGAGATAAATACATTCTTTGTCTAGAGAGAGCCCCATGGAGGAGGGGGCTCCCCCACATGCCCACATGGTGAGACAGGGAGGCCTCAAGGAAGGTACGGTTCTGTGAAGGCACCAAAAAGACATGTCCTGGTTGACTATGAAACCCAAGTCCAATTTGAGCTGTGTAGCCTTTGACAAAGCGTAGTACGACAAAAAAGACTAGCCGACTAACTACAAATCATCCAGGTAAACATATACATGCTGTCGGTGAGGGGCTGTAGCCAAAAACGTTGGTGGTCCTTGATAAGACCGCAGACGTAACAGTACGGTCTCCTTTCAGGAATGTTTCAAACGAATACTTATGACAGGAAGCCATCACACCTTTGGAGTCAGGAAGAACGTTGATGTAAAGCCCTCTGGAGGATTTAGGAGAGTTGTTATTATTTATGGCTGTCTTTTGTTGCAGAGAGAAAAACTTTTTAAACGAAGTTCGGCTTCTTTGGCCGTGAGAAATGGGAGTAATCACCGGGTTTGTCAAGACTTAAATTGTCATCTGCCTTGAGGCATTTAGATTCTTGAAGCATAGACTCGCCAAATTTATCTGCAGAAGGGTCACACAAGAACAAGGATACATCCTCCAAACGCTCCCTGGAACCAGCGGATGTTCCTCCCAAAGGTTGTTTAAGAACAGACTCTTATGTAAAGAGGTGGTTGGGGTCAAACCAAAAGCAGCCAAGCAGCCCATGATCATCTAGAAATTGGGATATGAAAGGCAAAAGACATTTCATAGGTAGGAAGGCTAAAATTCTTGTGTACGTGTACAAAGGTAATGACAAACCAAATGAGATTTTGTAGGGCTTCATAAAGAGCGAGTGTGGATATTCACTGAAAAATGTAAAATTCACATATTTTTGTGCAATCTGTGCTCACATTTGTGCCATCTTTAAAATAAAATGAATAACGATGAATAAAGCAGAGATTTCAAATGAAGAGAGTCTCATCGCATTAAATCAAAACCATAGACAAAGTTCAACCACCGAAGGCTTGGAACATCAGCCCAAAAATCCAAAAGTAGGGCGGAAAATTAGAAGAAAGGTCAATTGAGTTTTTGCAGGCAAAATTTCTGTTGAGATGGTGTGTGTTTTTGACTCTAGCAGAAACAGGAGGCATGAAAATAATGAGCAGGGTTGTCAGAGTTTGCGAGGAAGAGGAACTGCTCTTGAGGCGAGGTTTCAAGAGCAGTTCTTGAATTTCTTGAGTGCCCTAGAGAAACAGGGCAGAAAATCGCCAATTAGACGTAGACTGTCCGCAGTTTTTGTCAGAACTGCAGGCTTAGAACTGAAATGAGCGCAGGAGCTCTAACTGTCTATGTCAGGGGTGACACTTCCGTCGTGCCACACAAGAATACCAATCGATTCTCGGCGTAATTCGGACGACGAGAGCGAGCCAAAACACGAGGTTTATAAAGACCTTGGCTGCACAACCGATGTCTGTAGCAGATCAAGTGAACGTCGAAGTCGGAAGGTGATAACGGGCCGTCACATGATCGACATTTACCTGTAGACTTCTGAACAAAGTTCTCCTTATCCACGATTAACACACACGGTTGAAAGTGTCGGAGTAAGATAGAGTCGTGTCAAGAACTAAGTAACGACACGTTGCTCAGGGAGAACGCGTGTACATAGCGGTGCGTGTGTTGGTAAAAAGAGGCTAGCTACGCAGGACATAGGGGGACGTGCGGGTCACGTCAAGGCTTGTGTTATATCAGGGGTTATGCTTGCGCATGCGCATTTGGAAATGCATTTGTAGGTATAGAAGTTGTCGTATTTTCTGCAATAGAACCCTCTTGCTGTTTGGAAAACATAATGCAAAATAGGTCCCATGTTGTTACAGTCTCGCAATATTGATCCACTTTTCTCTTATATCCGTAGTTTGTTAGCTCAACCTCCATTAACGAAAGATCTTTTTTACAGATCTCTGTATGGCGCTAAATTGGCCAAGGTTCCCGATTCTGTTTGGCAAGACTTGGGCGCCAACTGTTACACGTAAGAACGCCATAATAATGTGACGTCAAATGTAGTCCCGTAAGAGAGATACTACACTTCGAGGTGGTAGATATTTTTAAAGGATAAAAACTTTGCTGTCATTTTCTGGGCATTTCTTGGCAAAGACGGCTGTCATGCTATTGTGAAAAACGAAGGAAGATAACAGTGTATAGTCATGCATGTCGCATCAAAAAATGTACACATACATGCACTCCCCTCGATCACTCTCCCTTTAAAATTTGCAAGTTGCACTTTAACAAGATCTCTGTCTTATCATTAAACGGATGTCCTGCCTACATGTCAGAGGAGTGCGTGAAAAACTTAAGCCTGACATTTTTTCCTAAGTCAAAAAGGGAGGCACCTGGAAAAATCTGAACAGATTTAACAACTCCAATGAGGTTGTAAACATTTGTTTCAATGCTATAACAGAGCGATTGACAACTGTTTGCAGTTTGCACCAGTAGTAAACCGGACGGACCTCAAAATGTAAGTTGAATGATGTGTGCCCTAGAGTATTAAAATGCAGGCGGTAAAATCGTTCCATCATTATAAAGAGGTAAAAATATTGGAAACAGTCTAAAATGATTAACCATAGATGTTCGTTGTTATAACGACGATGGCGTTGTTCAATTAACTATTCAGAAGGTGATAAAATCAAAAGTGATGGGAAATGTCGAGTGAAGAACAGAGCATACTGTACAAAATGTTGAATTTCCGTACAATTCTTCTCAAAACGTAGCAGATTCACAAAAGAGAAATCGCTGCCTTGCGCTTCCGCAAACATACTCATATTGCTCGCTTCACCACAAAAACGTTCAACTTTAACGGAGGAATGCTGCATTTCCGAAGTGTAACCTTAATGATTCCCCACTCCATGCCACCCGATCCTACTACCCACCGCTATTTATAAGTAGGGCTTGCACAGCAAATACGCCATGCTATAAGCATGTTGGTATCATAGGATCGTGGCGGGACTACTTTCGCCATACTTGCAAGTAGGGCATGAAAAGCGCCCCCACTTGCAACGCAACAAAGAGCCACTTGCTGCGGTGCACAAGTTAAAACTGGTCTAGCGAATGCGACGAATGTAGTCCATGCTACGATCCTATGATACCGACCTACTTATAGCATGGGGTATTTGGTGTGCAACCTACTTCCAAGTAGCGGTGAGAAGTCGGATCGGGTGTCCATGCATCTAGTGCAGATGACTTTTCGAGAAGGACGGTTCGGTTGAATGGGTATTTTTCCGTCCAAATTTCGGCCAGTATTGGAAGGATTCTGAGATAACACCGATGTTCTCCCTGTGTTCTTTAAATACCTATCAGAGAGCTAGTTGGTGATGGTTTCGCCCAGCCGATCGATGTACCGAATGAGATAGCTGAAGTACTGTCCAGGTCGGGCTTCCAGTGCCGCCGGGCTCAAAAACAAGTCTGGCAATGTACACCATGTCCGCAAGGACACTATGGCGCTTACTGGATGGATCCTTATCAGGAAACGTGCGTCGCTTGCCCGGCAGGTAAGGCCTAGATGGGGAGGACAGCCGAAGTTTTGTGCGTTGATGTTGGTATTTGTGTCTTATGGCATGTCTACGGTAGTTTGTAAGCCCTTTGATAATTCGAAGGCTCCTTTTTTCGTATAGGCACCTGACAAAGTACTGTGCCCATTGGATAATTCAGTCCTGAACGATGTCCTTAACAAACTTTCTGGGGAATTCCATTCCACCTGCATTAATCTGATCAAACTGTGAAGGCCAGTTACATTCTTGATCTTTATGAGAAGAATTTGATCCAAGCTTGACTCGCAAAAACTTGCAAATATTCAGGCCTAGAAACAGAACTTTAAGAGTCCTGTCCAATATCGGAGCGTAGACCGTGGGCTCAGTCTTCTGAGTACTATATCACCACTTTCTAAAACTAAAACGTTTTCTGGTTTAATGGCTCTTACCAATAGTAACAATACTTGACTGTTCCCAGGAGGATTTTACCAAAGCAAGACAGGGCAAATTGCTGGCAAATCCCACTCGATCAACTGTCAAAAGTGCAACGACGGAACTTATGTCACCCCAGCTGCCCACCCTGGCATCAGTCCTGCAGACTGCGTTGTGTGTCCTACGGGAACCAAGAAGAACCTTCACGCTGGCTTTCGTGCATGTTCATGTGTGGATAATTACTACCGCAAGGATCGCTTCGGGGAGTGCTACCCGTGTCCAGCAGAGGGACTGAACTGCACAGGGGAGTACCAGCACCTCCTGCCCGGATTCTGGTGGACTTGGGATTGGGGTTCGGACGGAAACTTTCGATCCTATGAGCGGTTTGTCAAAAATCTGCGCACAATACCAACGACTAAAGACCACTGGACAGAGAGTTTTTGGGGGGCGTTTCCGCT